CAAAAAAGAAGTCTCCATTTCTCAGTCATGTAATAGTAACAGTTCCCAGGCACATGGCATCTATGCAACAGCAATAGACATACTTTGCAATTTCATGAGCATTCTTGTTTCAAGTTCACTAATGTACATCTATGTTGGAATACAGAGGTTCACCCCCAAAATTCCACTTTATCTGTGAGTTTTAAATTAGCCTGCAGAGGGCAGCAAATATTAGTGCAAATTCCTGTGTTTTAAACCTTAGGCTTGGAGTGGCAGTTGATTATGAATAAAGCATTAATGTTCACATTATTTGATATCAGCACTGAAAAATTTTCTTGACATATGGGAGACTTTTATAGCTACTTTTTAAAAAATGATAATAAGAACTGGGCTGGTTGTTAGTGAAAAAGTAGTAGTCAAATTTATTTTTGGTAAATCCTTATTCCTCTGGTACTTTTTAGACCCTTCTTCCAGATATCCAGGACCTGCTCACTACCTCTAAATACTGAGAACCCCAGCTCTCCCAGTGGGCTCTTATGTAAGTCCAGTACACAGAATTATACCCTCTCCAACAAAAAAGTTTTCTTGTATTTCATTCCTATTTGTTTTCTTTTACGTGTAGTGGTAATTTATTAAGAATAACTACTCTTGTTATATGTACATTATCATTCACTGATATACATTACTGAAATTTAATTATGTAAAATGAAACTATTTATAAAAAGAATAACTTTTATGTAGGATGGTATTTTTAAAATAAATTTTACTAAGGACCTCGAACAAAGCAAGATTCCCCAATACCTAAGTTAATGATCAAGAAAATATACAAAAACTTACAAAAGTGTATGTGGGGCAGGGGAGGCGGGGGAGCATAAAGTTTATCAACACACACAAAAATAAAAGGTCACAACCTAATACCACAAGTGAAAAGAAACAGGGTGAAAGCAAGAAACAGCAAATATTGTCACATTGTATTAGACCTCCAAATCTTACCTTCACCTCCAAATTTTGGGGAAAATGAGTCTAGAATGTCCTGAACATTTTCACTGTTATCTAATTTAGTAATATGCAGACTGAAGTTAAGTAAGTTGCCCTGAGAAAAATGAAGTAGAGACCCACAAAAATTCAACCCTAACCACATCCTTGAAAATTCATCAAAGGTAAGAAGGGCAAATAGGCTTACTATTATTTATGGCAATGCTGGAATGATAGCCAATCAAAGAATCTACTGAATCTCAAGAAACTACTCGGATGTCAAATCTCCAGGAAGGGTAGCACCCCTCAGCAGCAGGCTCAACAGCCACCAACCCTCCATGCTCAGCCTCTCCCTCTCTATCCCTGCATATTCAGCCTCTACTCCTACCATCCCTACATGCTTATAAGTTTGAAGGAAAGACCAGCTGGTTATAGATGAGATATGAAGAGATGATCTACTCTGTTTTGAACTGAGCAGTAATACCTGATGACAAATGTGATCAAGGTGAAAATAAATCACATGGCAATTATGAAATTACAGTAGAGTAAAAAAGCAGCAGCAGGAAGGAAGGAAGGAAGAAAGGAAGGAGAGAACACTAGAAGGAAGGAAGGAGGGAAGGAAATAAGAAAGAAAGGAAAAGACTTATGGTTCATAAGATGCAAAAGTCTAGAAGTAAGCATATCTTCAAAGTACAGGGACAGAGTCCCAATGAGTGTTTGATGCTGGGCAATAACATGACAAAACAATCCAATAAAAAAAGAGCTAGAAAACAAAATAATTAGAGTTAACAGGTTAAAAGGAGATTTCAGAGATCAGAAAACAATCTGAGAACTGACCCATAATTGTAGATCTAACAAGTAAATCATAATTATCAGAAACAGCAAGGGACAAAATAAAATACAATAAAATGGAGTAAAGAGTTGAGATAATTGTAATGAATGAAGAAGAAAAAAGCGTATTTAAAGCAAGCTTACTTCCATTATTGGTAACATGATGGACTAAGTACCTGAACTGATCCTACTGTTGAAAACAACTAAAATGGTTGAGCAAAAATATTTTTAAAATCTTAAATGCATGCAAATGATGTCAGAAAAAAAGTGAACTCTAGGCCAAAAGAAGTTAAAGGCAGGAACTTGGAGAGGTGAGTGAAGACCTGAGGTTCGGTTTTGGCCTCCGTGGTATTTCCTGAGCTCAAATGATCTCAAGCATTAATTTTTAAGGTTTCAAGGATGGGAAACAAAGTCTATACCCACCTCAAGTTAGGGATTACATTAGGAAGCCCCTTATAAGTAAAACTGGAACTCGAATGTGTTATACTGCTGGTTTAATTATTAACTAATAATGCACTCTGACACCAATGTAGAACTGACCAATAAAGGAAAACTGCCCATCTTGAAATGTGAATATTGAACCTTGATTCTGACTGGATGCAGAATAGGTTTTTTCCTAAAGAATCATAACCACCATCTGGTGTCCATTTAAGTTTTTATCTTGAATTCACACCAGCTGGTATTCACACACACACACACACACGCGCGCGCACACACCTCAAGTCAGTAATTCAGTTTAAATTGATACAGCACTGATAATGCCCATGAACACCTGGCAGAAACAAAGGCTAATCCTCCAGTGAAGGAATCCACCTTCATCCTAGACCTAAAAGAATTTCCAAAAAGTTCAAATGAAAATGAGAGCTCAAAGCAAAGAGAAAAATATATTAAAAAAATACAGGGAAACAAAGCACCATGGATGAAGGCATAAACTACATAAAGGCTTACAAGTCTTCAGATACAGGAATTGCCAAACAGAAAAAAATAAAAATGTTTGTTTAAAATGTTTCAAAAAGTAGGCATCATATTGAGTGAATAAAAACGTGTAAAAATCTTTAACGACTCTAGAAATGAAAAATATAATAAAAATTAAAAATTTAGTGGATGGTTTTATATCAAACTGGATACAACTGAAGCCCAGGGATACAAAGAAGTAGAAAATATGAGACATGAAGGACAGAATAAGATGGTCTAACATACAGCTAACTGAAATTCTAGAAGAAGAGACAGAAAGAGTGAGAGAGGGAGGACTGGGGAGCAAGGGGAGCGGCTATACCTGAAGATATTTATTGAGAAATTTTCGGAAACTTGTGAAAGAAAACAGACATTAGAAGCAGGAACTACAATGAACTCCAAGGAGGGTAACTTAAAAGAAATCCAAATTTAAGATCTACCATAGTTAAATTGCACAGCACTTAAAGAAAAAAAGGAAGAAAGTTTCTTAAATTTCTATGACAGTTTTTTCAGAGGAAGAAGTTCATCTAAATCCAATTCCCTGCCATGTTTCTAAGAAATACTTTGCCTTATTTTTTCCCCAAATACTTGGAAACGAGTTAGAGAAACCCATGATATAAATCCCGTTCCTCAATGAGGCTTTTTTGGGTCAACTTTAAAGGTTCTATTTTAGTTGTCACCTGTAACATCTCTCAAGACCAAGTTCAAAATGTGGTAGGGGCCTCTCTGTTTTCAGACAGGCAAATGTGGTATTGCAATTGCGCTGGAATCCCAAAATTCAGTTCAGCTGAGGTAAACTGACGAAGTATAAGATGCAGTTTGCTCTGAAGACTCAACAGAGAGGCACACACTGTGTGGCAAAATGGTTACCTTTAGTTGAATGGTAGGAAGTGAACACCCCCGTCTTTGTACAGTCAGGCCAGTTCGGCAAGAAGCCTGTCACTGGGGCGAAGCGCCGAGGTCCGCTTACGGGACCGACGACGCTCCTGCGACTGCGCATGCTCCAAACTCCAAGCCGGTGACGGTCTTTGAGCCGGGCCACCCCCGGACGCGCGCAAGGGGGCAGACGTGGGGGCGGGTTTTCTCTGCGGAGCTGGGGGCGATGTTGGCTCCCGACGGCACTGAACAACAAAACCTCAGCAGTGGAATTGGAGACAATCTCAAAAGCACCACTGTCTAAATCTCAGATGTGTATATTAAATTGATATTATAATCTAAAGGAGGACAGAGAGAGAGGAGGAGGAGAAATAAGAACCGAATAAACCAAACTCACACTCTCCAGGAAGTACAAGTGCCTAGTCACAAGTATTTGGGAGATAGGTGCAAATGTTTTCTCCTCCAATTGTTTTCTTAAAACATAGTTTCTTTAATGATTAATTAAGATATATGTCCCACTATGAAATTAGTGCAAACATTGTTTTATTTAACCTGCACTGTAACCTTTTCTTCTCGTCCTCTTTAAGCACCAACACCTCTTTCACTTCGCTGCAATCAAGATGTATTTTGAGAGGGAAAAGTGGAAAGATACTGCTTCTTAAAATCTAATACATAATCCAACGTCATTACACTCCAAACTGTTCTTGAAAGATTGGAAGTTGGATAAAACACAACACAAGAATGAAGAAAGTTCCCATCCTTTTCCATTGACACTTGAATTAGTAACAGTATGCCAGTAACTACTTTTTACTGATTGTTTTCAATTCAGGAAAATAAAAAGAATTGTCTTTACTTTAAATGGAGTTTTAAAATAAGAATGTACGTTATTTGAGCGAAGTGAGGTGAAAGGCCCAGAAGTGAAGTCAGTGTTGGCTTTGTGGTCAAGTAAAAGAGACTCATTTTATTGTTCAGGCTTCCACAAATACTATGGGAAAACACTTGGACACTTGAAATCTATATTTGCTGCATATTTTTATTCTCCCTCTGAAGTTTTTAAAATAGAATGCTATAGGATATTTTGAAATAATAAGGTGAAAGCCAAAACTCATTATTTGAAGAATATAAAATAAGAATGTACGTTATTTGAGCGAAGTGAGGTGAAAGGCCCAGAAGTGAAGTCAGTGTTGGCTTTGTGGTCAAGTAAAAGAGACTCATTTTATTGTTCAGGCTTCCACAAATACTATGGGAAAACACTTGGACACTTGAAATCTATATTTGCTGCATATTTTTATTCTCCCTCTGAAGTTTTTAAAATAGAATGCTATAGGATATTTTGAAATAATAAGGTGAAAGCCAAAACTCATTATTTGAAGAATATGGTTTATTTTACATTTTACAATATTTTTGGGTTAAGCAACATCAAATTCCAGCATACATGTTTTTATTACCTTCTTAACAGCAGAAAATTGAGTAGACTTTCATATTTCATAGGCTATTAAAATTCATGTTTGAACATTTTCTATAATTTGGGCAATTGCTATTAAAATTTAAAATAAATTTAAGTGGTTCTTCATGTCTTTTTTTCTAAAGATAATAACTATTATATAATAACTTTTTTATCAACAGGAAGATTTTGAGAAAGAAAATGCATTTAAAGTTTTGGCTCAGATTTAATAGTGTACATACACAACTCTAGTCCAGCTATTATTTAATGGAAAATACAAATATAAGAAATTGATCATCCAACCTGAGCCTCCAGATGTTTCACTTATGATATACTATGAGGACAGGGAAAAAGATAGAAGATTCTTAAGGTATGCACACATTTATAATTGGTGTTATTTCTGTATAAGTATGGCAAGTAGAGTAGATAGTTCTTAAACTTTTAGATTGATTGGAATGTATAATAGAAATCAAGCTTAATACAAAAATCAAGCTTAGAAGAAGTCATTGCTGAGTTCAGATTTTAAATTTTGAAATATCTACATAAATGAAAACACAAGAGATAAAAGTATGAACTTGCAATTTAACCTTTATTCCCTTTCTTGGGGAGTATGTAATTAGAACCCAAGTTTGTGGCTGTAGGGATAACCATGACAGACATGCCTTTTGGAGAACAAGGGGAGTTCAGTTCAGTAACCAGAGCTAATATACTGTGTTCCCCAGTATTGGAGGGACTCTCAGGTACTTACTGTAGAGTCGAGCAGTTTTAAAAGAGTTGCCATTTCTGTGTTTGGGTAGCCCAAGAACATTTGTACCATAATCATATAGGATGAGGAGATAGGTGTGGGCCTCAATTATTTACCTCTTTTAAGATGCATGTGCTAAGTGAAACTGTTAATAAATGTTGTTTCTGCAGCTTTTAAAAAAATATACAGAATGACTTCTAGAATTCCTCTGGGCATAAAAACTGTTCCTTTAGAGCTGAAGAACATATTGCGTTTTCTATTTCAGTACAGAGATATTTCTTACTCTATACTGTTATCCTCTTTTCATCCACACACAAATTGTGGAACAGAGGAGGACTGGGGCCCTAGAGGGAGTATGAAGAGGTGTGATTTCCACCAAGTGGGCAGAAAGCCAATAGCTGAATTTTAATATAACCATGTGTATTTGTACCTGTTGTAAAAAAGCAATCAAAGTATTGTCTTCAGAATTAAGCAATTTAAAGCCATATTTATATAGTACATCTATGATTTACAATGTATATTACCACATAGCTTATTGAGATTTATCATTATGCATAGATATTTCCAAAAAATTATTGTTCTATGAATTCCATGTATTTTATTGTCAGTAAGATGGTTCTTAATCATTGAAAAATAAGGACTGATTTTCTATAGTTAGCAAAATATACTTTTTGATATTTCTCAGTTTCCTTTTTGATAATAACACACTAATTAAATATAGGAATAAAAATAAATCAACTGTTTAATATATTTTAGTTACTATGACACAGTGAAATGGACCAGGCTCACTTACAGAAGGAGATCACTATTCAAAAATATTTAAAATAGGTATGAAAAGACTATAAGGAAATAAGCATATACCCTTCGAGTAACTTATATACTGTTTCTAGTTGGTATAAAAATCAAACACTCATGAAGAAATTAGTGATATTAAAAACAAATAATTTATTGATGACAGTATTGTTCTTCACAATATTGAAATTGAATATGAATTCAGTTTTAAGGAGGAAGTGGAATTTAGTCTGTGCTTTGAAGGATAATTGCTTAAACCATAAAGGAGGTGAAGAGCAATTGAGGTGGGAGGAAAAAAATAGCTAAAAGAGCAATGGAGACAAGAATGAGCAAGGTACGCAGAGAGGACAGTGAAGAGAGGGATGGGATGGCAGAAAGGGGCATTTGTTGTGGTTAGGGAGGAGAGTGGGAAATAAGATTTTCCAGAGAGTGGTATCTTTTGTTATTAAGGCCTAAAAGCCAACAGAGAGAGAGTCTGGATGCAATGTAATGAGCAATAGGGAGCTTTTATTAAGCAGTTTTTTTTACATTTTATATCCTTATATAAATTGGTAGTGTTTTTTCTTGTGCATTATTACATTTTTTTTTCTGTAAAAATATTCAGCTTTTAGCTACTTGGGATGTTTTTATTGAGAATAAGTCTTATGATTCAGGGAGTATATTATGTGTAATCTGTTCTTCATACATGTCAAGGAAAGTGCAAATTGAAGATTATTAACATTATCTACTCTGTAGAGATAATGAAGAGAAATCACAGTTGTTCATAAGGGATGGCATTATCTATACCTTCCATGTAGGAGAAACACACTGATGAAGTAATCATTACTGTAATGTGTTGTGGCCCTTTTGAATTAAAAAACACTTTGTACACACAGAAATAATAAACTTGATTCTCCTCAGAGCTCTGAAAGGAGACTTGTCTTCCTTGTCACTAATAGTATTATTTCCCTAGATTTGAGCTTCATTCTAACTCAGAGTAAGGGTAGTTTGTATATTTGGGTAAACCTTTCTCTGCTTGAGATTTGTTCCTTAGGTTGATGGGCTGTGTCTCTTAAGAGTTCTCCAATATAACTATATAAATATGTAAGGTGGTTGTAAATAAATCAACAGATGTTTGTCTCTTTAGCAAGGACTCTGACTAAATAAATCATAGAACCAAATTTGGGTGAGAAGGGGAAAGAGAAATAAGCAGAGAAGGATGGGGACAAGAATAGGCTTTGGACTGTCAACTCAGCACTAAGGGCCCTGGGAGATAAAGAGAAGAGAGGACAAAAGAGGTAGGCAGGAGCCTTAAATCAACCTCACTTCACAGTGCATTTTACTTGGGCCAAACCTGTTCAGTAGTGCATGTGAGCTCTGACATGTCTTCGTGTGCTTCAGATACCCAATCAGAAGCTCTCACTGCACCAATAGGCCCTTTTTCTTGAGTTCCCAATTTCAGTTGAGGACAAGTATCTCAGTGTTTCTATTTCATTTTCCTCCATCTGTCTGTTTATTAACATACTTAGTATATCCTGTAGATTCTGCCTCCAACTGTCTCAACTGTTTCATCCTTTATTGCCAGAATCAAGTTCAGGACTTCAACCACTTCTTGCCTGGATTCTTCATTTGCTTTCTAACAGGAAGCCATTATCTCCAGTACCCTCACTGCTCAGTCTGAACTTCTGACATTACCATCACCTACAGTGTGGTTTTCCATTTCTCTTGCCCAATGCTATTTATTTATTATCTATTTTCATTACATTATTTATGAAATATTGCTGATACTACATAAAGTATCATGCCATCATAACTACCTAAACTTTCATGCCAAATCTTTGTTTTTTCTTTTCTATTATAGTGTTCATTTTTTTCTTTGTTTCACCTTTTAGATTATAAACATGTTAAGGGGAGAAGCTGTATTTTATTTTATTTTTGCATCTTCTATATAGTACACCTCAATGCCTTAAAGTGAGAATTCTGTAAATATTTGTTCAATTGATGGTAATGTGTCATAGACAAATAAAAATTGATGCAATATACTCTTAAGCTCCTAAGCAGAAAAGAACATTTAGAGTACACATAAAGGTACAGCTTAAAAATAAAGAATGCATTGTTTTTCAAATGATTTTGGTTGATGGTATGCCTTTCAAAAAGTAGTCTATTATCTTGCCAATTCAAATGAAATGAAATCTTCTCAGAAGTAGGGTTCTTGTGTTTCTAAATTCCTATGTAAGTATTGAAGAGAAACTTATGGACTTGCTTTGATTCACTGACTGAGCGGACTGACTGGGAGATAATTATACATAATATATAGTTAAAATAATATGAATATTTCCTGTTTATCTCTACTAGTTGGAAAGCAGGAATTTTTCTGAAAGTCAGTGGAAAGTTCTACGAGTTCTTGTCACATTCTTAGTAATGAAAGAAAAATGCTCAAATTGAAGGTATGGAGCTGCCAAAGTACCATGGACATTTTAATTAATGATTGACCTTATTAACATTAGCAGAAATGAAATATTTTTTATATTTTTAAAAAGACATAAGGAGTATAGTAACTGTGGTGAGCAACCTAGAGTACCTGGTGCCTTAAATATGATTTATAAATAAACATTGGACAATTAGAATACCTTTCCCTGGACCCCTCTTGATTTATTGCTATTAGAGTAAGGCTTTGATTTCAAATGTTGATGATATATGGTTAAGAAAATATTCTTCTAGGAATTCATTGAACAAAAAGAATATGCTAAATATGCATAAGTTCAGTGTTTAGAATTATTTTGCATACATAACTCACTTCATGATTGCTGTTTACTATCTAAATACAAAGATAATATCAATCTCTGACTTTTTACATTTCCTTCAACAACATTACATGAGTCTATTAACTCCTTCCCCACTCCCCTTTTACCCAGGATAAGATGGCAAGGGAACAAGAGTGGCTAGTTAGGAGAAATGTGTGCTTGGTAAATTATAGTTTTTACAAAATAATAGAATTATATAATAAAACAATAAGATTATATAGAAATTATGAATGGAGTTCTGCTGTTAATTGAACACTCTTCTTGTTGTAAGACATGAACCTGAAGAACCTGTATTATTAATTTTGTGGGTATATGTAGATATACATATATATATTTCCAGTTAGCCTTTTAGGAACATTGCATAGGCAAAATATTGTTTATAAGCAATAAATTACTTTCTAATTTGAGCATTATAGAATGATGGTCAAAAGAAACATTTTTAAATGGAAAAATTTTGTTTTGTTCATGTTGCTATTAAAGCATACATTATACTCTTATCATTTTAGCAGTTTTAATTTATTTCCTTCTAAAGTTTAAAAGCTTTATTAATTAGCATTCATTTAGCTACTTCACCTGAAAAAAATCCCCAACTTTTTAATACTCAACTTTCTTTAAACTAACATCGACATCGTACAAGTTTTTGGAATGCTTTCTTGAAGTCTTCATTAAAGATTGTGTAAATCAATGGATTTATAAGGGAATTGAGATAGCCAAGCCATGTCAAAAAGTTGGACATTTCTTCAGAAATGTTACACTTTTCACATACATTAACAACCAATTCTTTTACAAAAAAAGGAAGCCAACATATTACAAATGCACCCAAGATTAATCCCAGGGTAGTGGCTGCTTTGCGTTCTCTTGTGCCTGAGATCTTTTGTCTTCTCCAGGATTTCTCATGCTTGAATTCAGACCTGTGACTTTTCACTGTGCTATGAATTTTATCAAAGTCTGTTGATGGATCAGATAAAGACTTTTCTAGCATGTAGGGTGTGGAGACCAGTCTAGTGCTTTTTTCGCCACTCTCCAAAAGGACTTGGCCATTCAGCTCCTCCTTGGCAATCCTACTTGCTTGTCTCTTGTGATATAACGTCTTTGCTGCTTTATATATTTTGTAGTAGAGGATCAAAATCAGTGTTAATGGGATGTAGAAAGCTCCAAATGTTGAATAAATAGTGGAAACAATGTGGTCGTGTTTGATGATGCACTCGTCGTCTTTGCTAGTCCCTTGGTGCCTCCAGAATAAAGGAGGCATAGAGATAAGAATGGATATAATCCAAACTACTGTGATTGTAATGCCAGCATGCTTGGGAGTCCTTTTCCTGGCGTATTCGACAGCATCTGTGATTGCCCGGTACCGGTCCAACGCTATAGCAGAGAGATGCAGGATGGAGCATGTGCAGCACGTGATGTCAATGCTGAGCCAAATGTCACAGACCACTTGCCCCAGAATCCAACTCTCTCTCACAATATACACGATGCTGAAAGGCATCACCAGGACAGCTACAAGAAAATCTGTCACTGCCAGGGAGCAAATTAGATAGTTGGCAGGGTGGTGCAGCTTCCGGGTCACAACAATTGCGGCAATCACAAGGGAGTTGATGGTGGTTGTCATCAGTGCCAGCCCGGAGAGAGTGAGGGACACAAGGATTTTGGATGGTATTCTGTTGAATAGTTCTTCTGAAGTCAAATTTTGATCAGATGAGTTTAAGAAATCCATTTTTTAAAAAAGATTAATATAGCTGGAAAAAAATGGATACCTGTAACAAAGGAGGGGAAAAGCAGTTCAGAGAAATCTTTAAATATTTTTCTCTCTCTGAATAATTTTTTAAAAAGTATATGTGTATGTTTTCCCAGGACATTCTATGGATTTAAAAAATGAAGTTCAAATTGCAGATCGTTTCTTTCCTTATAATTAAGAAATCCAGTAAGTACAATAAAAAAAGTAACTTCTAAAACATTTCTTAAAATATGGCTCAAATAAAACAATTTTTATGGGTAAACTAACCTATTACTCAGTAAAATCTCTACCATTATAGAATTGCATTTAATAGCTGTATTAATCCTAGCTGTGTTTTCCTCTTTGTTCACAGCAGAAAAAGTCTAAAAGCACATGTCACGAACATATATTTATGCATTGTATAATGTAAAAGAAAATATATTAAAGGGAGTATTCAAAATCATAAATAACTTTTCACTTAATCCAGAGTTACATTAGAACATTATCATTGGGCTTGTGGAAACTAAAGGAACTTCTAATGTATTTTATGTCAGGATATAAAGTTTACAAAAGGAAATAGAAATAAAATATTTTTAGTATTTCTAACATTCTATGATCATTTTATGAAATCAGTCATAGAATGACATGAAACACAAAATGTCAGAGTGTTTCGTAGTCTTTGTGGATATAAGTAGTTAACTTGGTTTTAAAAAGACACAATAAAATTAGTTAGAGTCAATTAGCCATACAACACTGCCCAATGACATATATGACCAAATAAATCACTTAAGGTGAACTTGCCAGTAAGGAGAGTTCAGACTAGCACTCACCCTGAAATGGAAATTCCTCTTCTTTATAAGGCACCATTGTAATGACCATGTAACCTTGTGAAAAAGGATCCACCAAACAAGGCTTATTCTTGTTTCCTCTGAGCTTTTATTGAATTACAAGTCAAATAAGAGCAATTCGAGTGTAAAGAGATAAGATTACTCTTTTTTATATGATAGTTTTCTTTTTTCTTTCTTTTTACATCAGCCTTTCTCTTTTTATTTAATAATTCTTTAGCAGCTCTTTGTATCTTAGGAAAATATGAGAGAAGATGAAAATCTGAAGCTTTATTCTTAGTTATAACTATTATTGTACCTCCCCATTTCTTAAATTATTTTTACTTTAAAATGTTTTTGTTTCATTTGTTGGAACTGATAAACAATAATTTTAAATACTTAATATTATTATATCAAGTGCTTACTATGAAGTATGTATTTGTATTGTAAAACTTTGGGGTATTGCATATTTTATATTCTACTTATATTGGGGTTTTCAGTATTGCATTTAATTTTTATTTTCTCATGTACATTGAAGGCAGGTGCTGATGGCTTGTTCTTAAGCAAATTGAGTGGCAGAAGAAATTTGAATACTTACTACACAGAAAATGAGTAGTTGTCCTGCATGTAATTGAAAAGTAGATGTACATCTATGTTACTTATACCAACACTTGGTTATTTGTAAAGGGCAAGTAAGTGTCAGATAAAGAATGGAAGCTAAAATCTTCTGGGAAATTCTAAGCCAGTGGGTTTCCAACTTAGTTTGCCTCAGAATCACTAGGAAGGCTATGAAAGCACAGATTACTGTGTTCCAACCTCTGGACTTTGAGATTCAGTAACACAGGAAGGAACCCCCATACCTATATTTCTAACAAGTTCCCAGGATGTTGCTGACACTGCTGGTCCAGGGGGTTAGATTTCTGGGGAGTAAGAGGTACAGCTGTTTCTCAGCTGTTTGCCCAATCCTTTTACTGCTGTAGCATCTATGAGCTCCTCTCTATTGAGAACAGCTCTGACATTTATGCTGTACAATTTTCTCAGCACCTTACTTTCTCACAGTCTTATTTCTTGGTTTCTCAAGTAAGTGATCGTATTCTAGCTTTTCTTTTGATGTTTCCTTATGTTTATTGCTGTCTTCATGCAGCTCTTGGACCTCCTGCTCTAGGCCTATAAACTGCTCTTTTCCTACATTGTTTCCAATATTTTCAGCCTGTTATGAGAGTTATGCTATATGACCATACTTCTAAACCAGTACTGGATCTCAGGGCCTGAGATGTAATGGAGTGCTCATTGGTACCATCAGGACTGTCATGAAAATCCTCCATCCATGCTTTCAATATCACTGGACCTCATAGTCTTTAGCTATTCTCCCTGTAAACATCTTTAGAGAAATATCTTTAGTCAATGGTTATAGGTGAATTGCCCACTTCAAAGCAAATTGGACATATTAGAAACATGGTTGATGAACTAATTTCTACCTTCCTTTCAAATTTTCCCCATTTCTCTCATCATAAAATTTGTACTATATATTTAATAAAAAACTGAATATTTTCTTAATTGGTTAATTCCTTTGCAACAGTGTTTATTTAGTGTTATGGAAATAAATTAAAAAGTGATGATATTTTCCACATGACAGGCAAAAATAACTTCCCAATTTGATTTGCCTGGTGAACAGTTGGCTTAAGAGTCTCTTCAAGTGGTACTCTTGAATTACATTCTGAATAGAATATTAAACAACAGAAACTAGAAATAGTCATGTGTGTTCCCATAATAAAAATTAATTATGTAGGGAAATGGACCAGTTTAAAATTAGAAGATGAATTATTTGATAATTCAATGGGTTTCTTTAAGCATCACATTATAGCATTTAAATTAGGCTCAATAAAATGGTACTTAATACTAAGAAAAAAGAAAAATGTGCCATATGAATTCCATTGCAGTCAAAAGTAATCTCCACATTATTAAATTTAGAAAAATTCTCTCATAGTTGTGTTTATAGAAAACAAAGAAAACAAGAAAACAAATGAGGCCAATCACAACTGGATTTATTTTTCTTTCTTTTTTTCTTATTTTCCTTATCACTTAAATTTAGAATTTCAAAGCACTTACCTTCATTAACTCATACATGATCTCTAATCAGATTCTTTCATATTGCTTTACATCTTAGGTTCCCACTGTGACCACTTCTGGGTTACTGGAAATAGACTATGTCACACGTGTTCTCCTACTCTGAGAACATAGTTTGCATTTTATATTTTGACTGTCTTCACTGGGAAATAGAACTCCTCTTTAAGTAGAGCCTTTAGTTATCAGTTACATGTAGCCTTCTTGATAATAACAAAGAGAAAAAACTTCATTAGGCTTTGCTCAGCATGAATATTTGCCAACTTATTGATCTAATGACATGATGTATTTACTCCTCAGCTTATACAGAGTTTTTAAAAATCGAATGTTGATTTATATTCAGGTGTTTGTTTGATCTTGATGTCCAATTATTTTGTTCTCAAGTTAAACTATAAACTCATAAAGGTGTAGTTTAATTTACTTTATGTTGTAAATAACTTAGAGGGGATCATACAAAAATTGACACTGTATATAAAAAACACTAAAGATTCCACCAAAAAAAGTATTAGAACTAATCAATGAATTCAGTAAAGTTGCAGGGTACAAAATTAATATACTGAAATCTATTGTATTTTTATATACTAATAATGAACCATCAAAAAGAGAAATCAATAAAACAATCCCATTTACAACTGCACGAAAAAGAATAAAATATGTAGGAATAAACTTAACCACAGAGGTGAGAAGGACTAGTACAGGGAAAACTGTAAGATATTGATGAAAAAAATTGAAGAACATGAATAAGTGGAAATATATTCCATGTTCATGGATTAGAAGAATTAATATTATTAAAATGGCCATACTATCCAAAGCAATCTACATATTCAATACAATACCTATTAAAATTCCAAGGTGTTTTTCACAGAACTAGAGCAAATAGTCTTAAAATTTAAAGGGAACCACTGTAGACCATGTATAACCAAAACAATCGTGAGAAAGAGCAAAGCTAGAGGTACATGTCCTGATTTCAAACTATACTACAAAGCTCTAGTAATCAAAACTGAATAGTATAGACCTAAAAAGAGATGTTACATCAATGGAACAGAATAGAGCCCAGAAATAAACCCATGCATATATGGCCAGTTAATTTATGTAGAGGAGGCAATAAATTATTTCTTGAATAAATAGTGTTGGGAAAACTAGACAACTACATGCAGAAGAATGAAACTGAACTTTCTTATACCATATACAAAAAAACCCCCAAAAATGAAAACAAATCTTGAAATGGATTAAAGACCTAAATATGAGACCCAAAACCTTAAAATGCCTAAAAGAAAACAGGCTATCTGACATTTGATTTAGTGATCTTTTTCTTTGGATCTGACTCCAAAAATTAATAAATGGGACTACATCAAACTAAAAATCTTCTGCACAGTGAAGGGAACCACAAGCTAAATGAAAAAGCAACCTAGTGAATGGGAGAATATATTTGAAAATGATATATCTGATTAAAGGTTAATATCCAAAATAAATTTTAAAAAATCATACAATTCAGTAGCAAAAGAAAAACTGTCCAATTAAAAATATGAGTAAATTATTTAACTAGACATTTTTTTCCGAAAAAGATATACAGATGACCAACAGGTACATAACAAAATATTCAAAATCACTAATCATCAGGGAAATGCAGATTAAAACCACAATGAGCTATTACTTCACACTTTTCAGAATGGCTAATACCAAAGAGATGATAAGTGTTGGTGATGATGTAGAGAGAAAGAATGTTTGTGCACTGTTGGTGAGAATGTAAACTGGGACAATCACTATGGAAAACAGTATGTGTGTTCCTCAAAAAGTTAAAAATAGAAATATTATACAATCCAGTAATTTCACCTCTGGATATCTATCTGAAGAAAATAAAAACACTAATTTGGAAAGATATAATGCAACATGTTCATTGCAGCATTATTTACAATCACCAAGATAGGAAGATAGGAAAGCAACCTAAGCATCTGTCAATAGATGTGTGGATAAAGAAGATGTGGTTTATATGGGCAACAGAATATCACTCATCCAAAAAAAGAATAAATCTTGCCACTTGTGATGACATGGATGGACCCTGAAGGTATTATGTTAAGTGAAATAAGTCAAA